CTCTCAGTGAAATGAGTCTCCAAACAGCATTCCCTAGGTCAGAATGTCAAAGATGCCCTTGGCTATTCAACCAGAGGGGAAAATGAGTGGAGGAGAGCAGACAGAGCTGCGGTTAAAACTGTAGGAGTGTGTGTGTGAGCATCTCAATACAAACTCCAGGGACCCTGGAAGGTAAGTGAGGTAGAAGGTTAAGCTGTGCTAGCTTGATTTAAAAACAAAAACAAAAACAAACAAACAAACAAACAAAAAACAAGCAAGCAAACAGACAGACAACCATGCCTCAGTGCAATACATTCTGAAAACTGGGCCACAGGAAAGTCCCCCAGAGGTTGGACAAGGCCTTTCAGAAGGTGCATCCTGAACTGGAAATAAAGTCCATGAGGCAGTCGAGGAAATGCGCTGAATGTTTGAAACTCCATGGCAGAGTGACGAGAACCTGTTCTGTGCTTTGGGTAAGTGACTGTGGGGGACTGTGTGTTGATGTTAGATGAGATATTCTCTCTCTCCTGGCAGTGTTAGCTGCTGAATATTCTATCCTCTTCCACTTTGAGAACTCTGACTCCCCTAAGGAATAGACCTCCTCATTCCCCCCTCCAGAGTGGCATCCCCCTACACTGTCGTGATCTTCATGCTCACTGCCTTCTGAGTTTGCTCACTTTTCCTTTCTGAGGTTCTCCAGCAGCCCTGCTGCTCGGGCCCTCTTCACAGAAATATTTGCCCCACACCTAGGAAATCAATGACCACTACCCTACTGCAGTCTTGCTTTCTTTGACTGCTACCAAGTCCTCCTCGCTCCTGGAGGAGGGAGCAGTGATGTTCACAGTCTCAAAACTTAGCTTCTCCGTAGAGTCTGAATTTCCCTCTTGTAGCAGTGACTCCAGTGGACAGGAGTGAAAATGGACTGTGACACTAAGTTTGCTCGGTCCCTGCTCTTCAGGTGCTGTGGAGTGCCTGTCCCTTGTGTCTGGCTGAGTAAGAGGGAAGCTCTGGGAGAGGGGAGAGCTAGAACGAGAAAGGCAAACACTGTCTCTCCTACCCACTGGTGTCAACTGCTAGAGTGGAGGAATAGAAGGAGTTCGCTCAGGTCACCGAGCGTGAGTGTGACTGTAGGGCTGCCTTGCACTCTGATGTCATTGTTGCTTATCTGGAACAGTCCCCAAACCGGAGCTCAGGGACAGTTGTCAGGCATGGCTCGTCCTCTTTCCTGCATTCCAGCACAGCTCTGCCTCATTCTTGACCTGTTGGGTTAACATCAGGGACACGGTGTGTGTCCCGAAAGCCCACAGTGGGCCTTACACTTAAGGGCCAATGAAGAACTTTCCCCCTTGGTCTCACTGCCAGTCCACACAATGAGTCTTCCAAAACTACTTGATTTTTCTACTTGCTGAATGACTAAGTTAACTAACTAACATATACTTATTAAGTCAAATTAATTTAATAGATGAATTAAAAAAAAAGAAATCAAAAGGAAAAGAATATGATTGCTCCTAGGTAGGGTGAAGGAGAAAGTTTATTATATATATGTGGGAGAGCAGAGCCAGAGGAGGGGACACCTGGGAGAGTTCAGAAAGAGCTGTGCTGTGTGAGGAGAGGGGGAGGGGAAAGAGCAAAGGGAACCAGGTCAGCAGCCAGGAGGTCCAAAGGCCCAAAGAGGGTGGGTAACCAAAATGGTTGGATTATATAGGGAAGGGCAGCCCAGTCCCCTGAGCTTGAGAGTTCAGTGTAGAGGTCAGGGTATGCCGTCCAGGAGGGCCCTGTAACAAGTAGGGGCTGAGGGGTGCAGGGGCTGAGGGGTGCAGGGGTTGAGGGGTGCAGGGAGAACCTGGGGGCCAGGTCTTGCTTTGATAAGTTAAATAAGCACCTTGGCCATTTGTCCCAAGTTTGAAATCTAACAAAAATATTAATTATGATTTAATTATTAAGTTGAATCGACTTAACTATTAGTTTGCCAAAACTTTTCCCAATTAAATGTATATTAAGTTGTAGCAATTCCACAATACAAGAAACGTTGCATTTCTTATAAGGTTGTCTAGTATCCTACATACCTTATTAAATGCTGATATTTTTGTGGTTTTGAATGTAGTAGTACTATATATATCATACATGTCAAAGATTTTAAAATGAGGTTCATTTTAATGGGAGCTAAGCAAGTACGAGGTGGCTTTTATAGTTCCTTGGAAAACCTGAATTAGAAGGGGAATTTTTTTTTTTTTTTAGCCTGCTAAAGATTGATAAATACCAAGATGTAAAGACTCTTCTTTAAAATCGGAAACAAGAATGTCTGAAATGACTGCCTATGTGCAACATCCTAATATCGTTTCTTGCTTGTGTAATAAATAAAAATTAATAAAAATAAAGCTAAGAAGGGTAGAATGTGGAGATGGCTCAGTGTGTAAGAACATTTGAGGACCTGAGTTTGAATCTCAGCACTGAAATAAAAAGCTAGGCATAGTGTGGGCAATGGTGGCACATACCTTTAATTCCAGCACTTGGTTCATCAGAGTTCATCACAGGCAGGTGGATCTCTGAGTTCAAGGCCAGCCTGGTCTACAGAGTGAGTTCCAAGACAGCCAGGGCTACATGGAGAAATCCTGTCTTGAACCAAACCAAACCAAACCAAACCAAACCAAACCAAACCAAACCAAACCAAACCAAACCAAACCAAACCAAACCAAACCTAAATCTAGGCACAGCCACTGTGGTAGTTTGAATATGCTTGGCCCAGGGAGTGACACTATTTGGAGGTGTAGCCTTGTTGGAGGAAGTGTGTCACTGTGGACATGGGCTTTAAGACTCTCATCCTAGCTGCCTGGAAGTCAGTCTTTTCAAGACGGCCTTCAGATGAAGACGTAGAACTCTCAGCTCCTCCTGCACCATGCTGCCTGGATGCTGCCATGTTCCTTCCTTAATGATAATGGACTGAACCTCTGAACCTATAAGCCAGCCCCAATTAAATGTTGTCCTTATAAGAGTTGCCTTGGTCATGGTGTCTGTTCACAGCAGTAAACCCCTAAGTAAGACAGCCGCTCATGTGTATAACCTCAGTACTATGTGGGCAGAGACAGGAGGATTGTTGGGCCTTCCTGGATGCCAGTTTCATTTCCAGTTCAGTGAGAGACCCTGTCTCAAGGGAGTAAAGTGGATAAGGATAGAGCTAAGCATCCAATGTCCTCCTTAGACCACTGCACAAACGCACACTTGAACACATGTATAATACACCAGACCTCTCCCCCCACAACACATAATCGCTGGATTAAAATTTCTCTATAGGAAAGAGAATGGGATACCAAACAGCCACAGCCACAGAAATGTCCTATATATGTTTAGAATGTAGTAGATGTGTTTATTTTATATCTGAAAATTTTAACCAATGCATGACTGAACTGTCATTTCAGTCATTTTATACACAAAACACCAGGCTCTTTCAACTAGATTAAAGGTTCTTCAAAGTCTACACTATTTGGAGGTGTGTTAATTTATTTTTAGGTTGCTTCCAACACACATTTAAAAGTAGCACTTATAAGTGTGAAGATGGAGAACTGATGTGAAATATGATGGAGGGGACATAGATCTGGATCCTTTCAGAAAGATGGGAACATTTAGATTTGGGCACCCTTTTCTTTTTGTAAGTTTTTTTTATTTTAAAACTATGCATATATGTGGGGTGGGGGGGGGTGTTGCACATATAACATCAGTGCCCATGGACACCAGGAGAAGGCATCAGATTCCCTGGAGCGGGAATTACAGGGAGTTGTGAAACACTAGATGTAGACGCTGGGAACAGCCCACCAGTCTTCTGCAAGATTAGCAAATGCTCTTAACTGCTCAGCCTTTTCTGCATTTCTTTTTATTATACATTTTTTTTTAAAAAGTTGAAAATTGTCTTCATTATGTTTACTTAAACCATAGGTACTAATATATTTTTTTTGCTACTGCACCTAATTCTTTCCCTTTATTTTTGCATACCAAAGAAGGGCTTGGATGTGGGTTTAACAGATGGGCTAAGGAGACAGCATTTGAAGGACCACTGAAACTCCACAAAACATGAACAGCAGGGGTTTTACATTTCATTTTTTTAGAAGCTTTATTTAATTTTATTTTCTGTGCGTGAGTGTTTTGCCTGCATGCCTATCCACATATGTGCAGTGCCCAAGAAGGAGAAGAGGGTGTCAGATGTCCTGGCATTGGAGTTACAAACAGTCCTGAGCTGTCATGTGGGCTCTGGGAAGTGAACCCAGGTCCTCTGCAAGAGATGCTGGTGCTCTCTTAGCTGATGAACCATCCCTGCAGCTCAGAGTTTTACACTTTCAGTCACTCAGCTAGCCACTAATGACGGTGGAAAAAAGTAAGCTAACAACATGAAAATGTATGAAAGGATCATTGAAACTAAATTAACAAGGAACTGAGTTTTCATTAGTAATATGCAATTACACAATATCAGAGCGGTGTGTTGATATTAACACAGCTAAAAAGGGACACAGCCTGACTATGGTCAAAGGTTCTGAAAGTCACTGTACAGGAAAGAGCTGAACCAGAGCACATAGTAATACTTTAGTATTTAATTAGAAAGGCAAAAAGAGGACAATTGTCTGAATGTTTTAAAAACTACTACCTAATTAAACAGCATCTTAATAATAAGCCAGGAATTCTGACACCATAGTAGGTTTCTGCTTTGTTTGTCTAACCCTGCTCCTTGAAACTCTACAGCAAGTCAGGGACTGAGGAGATTCCCAGGGTCTAGTTTTCTGATATGAAAAGAGTATGGAAGAAGAATGAAAGATTGAGCTTAGTGTAGGCAATGTATATACTTCCCCCTCAGTTCATATCCGTCCTCTCTCCACTCCCTTCTAAATGCACCTTGGAGGATACTTGGCCTATGAAGTCTCTTTCCCCTGGTCCAGTGTTCCTCCAAGGAACTGAGTTCTTAGCTCTCCAAGGGCCACCTGCTAGGTGGCTAGAGGTGGCCCGGGGAGTGTGATGGAGAGCCAGGTTGCACCTACCTGAGAAACACGGAGCTTGGGCTGTCAGTGGAGCTGTGTGGGGCCTCAGGACTGGTCTTCAGGTTGCTGGGAATGTCGAACTTGAACACATTGTCTCTGGAGGAAAGACGTTTCTTCACCATTCTGGTCTTGGCCACCACCACCACTCCAAAGCATCAGCTCAAAAGCTCATTTCTAGAGCTCTCAAATAAAGTGAAAAGTGCTGTATTTCAGCTTGTTACAGCGCCTGCCATGCAGGAAGTTCCTACCTGACTCTGATCTAGCCCAGGCAATTTTTTTTTTTTAAGTTAGTTAATGAGTAACCCTATCAGTATGACACAGCATGGTTCTCATCCCACTGACATTTGCTCTGAAAGAGAAACAGATGTGTTTGGGGAGTTCAGCTCTCTCACTTTGGTAATATGAACATTGCTGAATCTGTGGACTTAGGCAGGAAAACTTATGGAAAAATAAACAGTTTAACCAAAACACAGACAGAGGAGCAGAGCGGGCTGCAGGTGGACATTAAAAACAGGATGACCTTGCTAACAGCCCGAGCCTGCTGGGCAGGGTGAGGAATGTAGATGTGCTATTTCCCCACACATACAGGAAGTAATCCTCATCATTATGCCCAGGATGCTTAAAGCTACGTGAGCTTTGGTCCTCAGGACTTGAAGGGTCCTGGAATTCTGGTGGATGTAACAAGGCAAAGTCAGGTCCTGGAATTCTGATGGATGTAACAAGGCAAAGTCAATTGAATACAAACTCTCTGGCTGTGCATTCTGTCAAGTTATAGCCGGCCACAACCTTTAAGAAAACCTCAACAGCAAAGACACTAAGAAGCAAGAGTTTGGGTCTCATCTCTGTTACTTGCTGACTGGGCAATCATATGATCCTTACCCTACTGGGTGTGGTATCTGTCTTTCCACCTCACAGACTTAGAAGATAATAACATGGAAGAATGCCCATGGTGATTTGTAACTAAACATGGGCTGATATACACTGTACACAAACCCAGGAAGTCCAGAGAGGACAATTCTTTATGTGATAGCATTCAACCATGGATGCTCATGTGATGGAAAACTTCGAACTCCTCCCCCTAGTGTCTCTACAGCAAGGAGTGTTTGCTCCGGAGGAGTTTGGGTTCTTTCCTTGTGGTTTTAGTGATTAGCCAGTGACATTGAGAAAAGTACAGATTTGGAATGTGGAAGGCAACACAGTTTCCTGGGAAATCAAACCTTCAGCCTTGGCCTCATCTCTGCAAGATAATCAGCCAGGGGCAAGTTTTGCTGATTGCCCCACTGTCTCCAGGCTCACTTTAGAATTAGACAATGTGTGTGTACTGCAGTGGAACTTTCCCACTACCCAGTAGGATGACCTGTTTATCTTTGTCTGACTTGAATTTTTCTGGTTTGAGGCCTGGATGTCATGACTCCTAGGAGTCAACCATTGCTTGACAAACATGACAGGTGGCCACACTGGTGTCCTGGGCTGAGACGCTGATGGTGTCTTGGACCCAACTATTCCCTTGTACTTCCTGATGAGGCATAGTCTATGTCTCTGTTCTGTTACATTTTCTTGGTATTTCCTTTGTGTGGGAAATCACATTGCAAAGCCATGGCATGAAATCTAACGTTGCATGAAACTGATCATCATAGCTCTTAGAAAAGCATCGTTCACATGATAGTTTCTACCCTTTGTTAAGAAAAGCCTGCTCTGCCCAGATATTAACTACCAGTGTTGTGTAGGATGTTGCTTCTCTCCTCCAGGTATGGATTTTAGCCAGAAGCAGTGTTTAACTCAGAATAAAATGTGATTAAAGGAGAATGTTCTAGTGTCATAGCTTTCACTAGGAAAGCTTTCCTAGCTCTTGATTAACAAAGCACGCATCTATTGGCAAAGCTTTCGGCTAGCCCGCGGCCTTCACTGCATCCCTGCCTGCTCTGTGGCTCATTCTCACAATCTGAATTTCAGTGTTAAAGTCTTGGTCTAGACGATGTTCAAAATCTTCTCAGCCTTTTTGTGTAGACACCACTGAGTAAAATTTGACTCTAAGTATTTTTTCAATTTATTCTTCAATCAAACAAGGTCCATAGTTCCAACAACTTGGCATTGTGCAATGATGATAGTCTTGTTTACTTGAGCCCAGGTGTTCTGAAGTCCATGTCTGAAGAAGTAATTTGCCTTCTGCTGCTAGGCTAGAGCTGAAACGTGGGCGCTATGGCTGTTTAATCTTCTTTCCTTCTCTTTCTTCTCTCCCCTGTCTTTTCTAGGAATGTAGGGTTTGGCTATCAAGGCATACAGTCGACATCAGACAAACATCAGACAAACATCAGACAAACATCAGACAAAACATCAGACAAACAGTTTCAAAACAGCTTCCCAGAGGTATGGGATATCAATTTCTACTGATAAGTGGATGTTTCTCTGTACTTAAGCAAAATTAGAAAGATTTGTACTCTGAGATTCAGCTGGTGAATTAATCTGTCTTGGCGCATATGAATAACATCAGTTTGTGTGCTGTAAGGTTATGTTACTACCATTTGGGAATAGAAGGTTTGAGTGTGCAGTTTGTACACAGACAGATTCAGAAAAATACTATGGACGACAGTGAAGACTATGACTTATTAAAAATTATTTATATTTAATTATCTATATGCTCTTGGGTACTGTGTGGTATATGTGAGTGTAGGTGTCTACAGAGGCCAGAAGAGTGCGTTTGATACCCTGGAGCTGGAGTTACAGACAATTGTGATCAGTCCATTGAGAGCTCTGGAAACCGAACTTGGGTCCTCTATAGAAGACCTTTTGTAAAAAGAAGCAGTATGTGCTTTTAACTGCTGGGCCATCTTCTCTAGCCATGATTGTGATTTTTGAGCTGGCTACATTTTCACTAATTTTGAGTAGATTCACACATAGCACAATTAAAAAGTATGGTTTCTTTTTCTCACTGTGAGTGTGTCTGTAGCTCTGTGCCTGCACATGCCTTGTAAGAGACCCAATCCCACAAGCAGAGCCAAGAATCTTGGGACTCCAAATGTACCCATTCATGGTAATGGTTCCATCAAGTAGCTGGTATTGCTCCAGGCTAACTCATGGGTAGCATTCCATATAAAGTTCTTTTTGGTGTCTTTAAAATCTTCTGTTTTATGTTGTTTTATGATAAAGATTAGAGATAAGGTTAATTCAGCTCAAGCTGTACCTACCTCTCTACTGTAACCACCGAGGTATTTTAAACTTGCCTTGATTCATGACTTTTTTTCATCTATAAAACTATAAATCTTTATGAAATTGCTTCTTCATTGGAACATGGAATTTTGGGTAACCCAAATCTGTGGTCCTGGGCCATCGTCACTCAGATTGTCTCCAGAGCAAACTATCTTTGAAAGGATACAGTGAGAAGAAAGACATTGGCCTTGACAATATAAAAATACATAACTCTCTGCAGGGGTCATGATAATAGAAGAGATTTTGCCCCTGGAAAGATTAGAAAATTAATCTCTCAACTTCAGGAAACAGAACACACTTGAGGTAACCTTTTCCCTTGTGCATTTGGTCTTTGTGACAGAAAGGAAAGAGACTTGAAAACTCAATTTCCACTCCTAGCCCAACCACCAGCTTGACCAGATATTTTCATTGTTGTAAATTATGTTTGCTTACTTTTATAAATTAAATCACAATTTTTGATTTTGGGCTGGTAAGGGGGCTTTAGTGTTAAAAATGCTTGTGACCAAAGCTGACCAATTCTTGGAAACCATGTGGTGGGAGCAGAGAACAGATTCTGGCAACTTCTGACTTCTACATCCAGTGTGACAGTGTACACTCCCACAACAGAAAATAAAGATAAAAATTATAAAGCCTGATTTTCCTTCCCCCTCCTCCTTTCCTCTCCTTCTCCTTCCTCATCTCCATCTGTTCCTCCTCTTTCTCTTCTCAACACCTTTGCAAGGCCCACTGCTCAGAGCCCACATCTCTAGGTCACAGTTCCATCCTCATTTCATTTCACCAAAGATGCTAGGCCTCCTCCCTCTGGTGATGGGGCTGCTCTCCTGCTGAGGTGATACAGCACCCTTCACTAGCAGTGTCTTCTACAGGAGCCTGAGGGAGAGGCGTGAATGTGGGTTCAAAGTGGTTATCATTTCTGTCAGATTTATCAGAGTGCCTGTTTGTGTCAGGGACAACTGTACATTTCTTTAGTTGATCCTATTCTTGATCCAATTCAGGGTGGCTGAGGCTCTGTTGGAAGGAAGACACCACTCATGCCATATGCCTATCTCGGGTGAGCTCTTTAAAAGAGACTTGGCTGCAGTTGACTGAAAAATTCAACCCACAGCAGGGTTGCCTTTAAAATACCTAACTAATGCTATGAGCTTCTGAGATGGTTTGAATATGCTTGGCCCAAGGAGTGGCACTGTTAGGAGGTGTGTCCTTGTTGGAATAGGTGTGGCTTTATTGGAGGAAATGTGTCACTGTGGGCGTGGGCTTTAAGACCCTCATCCTAGCTCCCTAGAAGCCAGTCCTCTCCTAGTGGTTTTCAGATGAAGATGCAGAGCTCTCAGCTCCTCCTGCACCATGTCTGCCTGGATGATGCTATGCTTCTGCCTTGATGATACTAGACTGAACCTCTGAACTTGTAAGCCAGCCCCAATTAAATGTTGTCCTTATAAGAGATGCCCTGGTCATGGTGTCTGCTGACAGCAATAAAACCCTGACTAAGACACTTCCTTACTCTCTTTGTAGTTGCCCGTTGCCAGGGGGTGGACCTCCGTGCTACCTTAGCTCCAGAAACATGGCCTTTGTTCCTTCTCGTTTCCATTGCTTGCCTGCCCTGGAGTTTTCCTTTTAAACTTTAATACATTGTCCTTAATCTTCTTGAGTCCATTCTTTGTCCTTGTGCTTCTGTTTGTACCCACTCTTTAATTCTTTTATCAATGAGACTGAAAACCTCAAAGGAGAACCCTGATTTCACTCGTATCATCTGATGGTTCTGTTGGGACTCTCCCAGATTTCTGGGAACATGTAGTTTTTGTCTTTTTATGAGTGAAGACAATCAACCAGTTCCTGTACCCCTAGATGCTTCATGATCCCTAGTACCCAAGTAACAATGTCATGTGCTTTCAACTCCAGTGCCTGGGAGTAAGAGATGGGATGGAATCAAGCAGATTCTATGGACTTGATGGGTCAGTCTAGTCAGAGCTGTGACACATATACATACAACACACACACACACACACACACACACACACACACACACACCA